GCCCTTCAGATTAATGGCCCTGAAACTGCGATAAACATAAATATTTGGTGCTGCTGGAGCTGCCATCTCTCTAACTGAAACCGGAGGAGAGCAGAGAGGATTGCAAGAAGAATGAAGTCGGGGGCCTGAGTAAAGTGTAGATGAATGAAATGCACAAATACCCTGCAAAGCCCAGAAGTTTTGCTTGTGAAAACCTGGCCACCCACAGCAGCATGGATGACAGGCTTTTTCCACTGCCGGGGTGGGGGGCTGCCGGAGCTTCTGGGTCTGATGCAACCGTGGGGGTAGCAGGGAGGCAGGCAGTGTGAAAGGGGAACAGGGACTTGAGAAAGTAAAGGGGAAACCTCCAGTCCCCTGGCCCTGACGTGTGCCCCCCCGAACCCCCGCCACCCCATCACATCACCTCCATCTGACACCTGGGAGGTGCCCCTCACCTCCACCTGGCAGCCAGGACCGACGCTCAGCTCCTCCTCCAGGACCCAGGGGGCGAGGAAGGCGGCCAGGCCTTGGCCTCTCCTTTCCTCCCCACTGCCCGCCTCCCAGCTGCCAGCACGGCCGCAGCACCCCATGGGCCCCCAACAGGCCACCGGTGACGCTCCCAGGAGGTGCCCAGATCCCAGGCAAACATCTCCCAGAAGGTTTGGCGGTGGTGGCAGCCAGTTCTTTAAAAAGGTCCCGTGTCATTCTGCACTCAGCTGGGTGACCCAGGACCCGGGGTGCGTATTAATACCGCTGTTCTCCCAACGCACCCCGCGTTCTCTCTGATGAGCTGATGGGGGTCTCCCTGCTGTCTCTGCCCCCACCCCCCCTCCACACGGACGCTGTTCACATCTGTGTGGTCAGTGTGCGGCTGTGCTCACTTCCTGCTGAACACGTTGATGGCTTGAGCCCTGCCCGCGCTGTGTCCTCCCAGGCACCTCTTTCTCTTCTGTCCCCTCAAGCTGAGGTTTTATAAAAACAGTCACTTCCAACCATCCCCGATTTTAACAGCTTTGAGAAGAAAAAAAAAAAAAAAAGTTCAGCAGCACCCAGGGTAACTAATTAGGTGGCCTTCGGGCACCTCGGGGGGAGAGGGAAAGTCACAGTGGTGCGAGAAGAGGAAGAAACAACATTAAAAGAAAACACGGGGGAACAAAATAAAAACCAGAGATAAAAAGTCCAGAGAAAACAGCGGCGCCTGAGAAACAAGAGTTGCAGCCGCCAACTTTTACGGCGTCCAGCCCTGTTATTCATAAGCGAGTTTCCTCTCTCACAAAGGACCTTTTGCACGGTTCCCCCGCTGCCTCCCAACCAGCTGCTCGCGCGGTTGTATCCTGAGTGATGATGAGGCTCTGAAAGGGTGTTTTGGGAACAGATGGCCAGGGGAGAGCTGGGGAATGTGCCAGCAGAGGGCTGGGCGGGCTGCCAAGGCCTGCGGTGACTGAGTGCTTGGGCTTCCAGCTCGCGTGCTTTCCCTGCCCTCTGCCCTCCGTGGCGCCAGCAGGCCTTCCCAGCGAGAGCTCGGAACATCTGGAGTCTGGGGCTGCCAGGAGGGGGGGCCGCCGCGGCGGCGGGCGGGGGGACCCTCTGTTCCAGCGGAGCTCCCATGGACTCACCACCAGGCCCGCCTCGCAGAACAGCTAATCAAAACCACAGCGCCCGAATGGGAACCAGGCGCGCTCCCAGCTGCAGCCCCGGCCGCCAGGCGGCTTAACCCGGTGTCA